CCTTCTCTCTCTGCCATCTGAAGGCAGGAGTAAATTATAGAGAAACAACTTTATTGCAGAGTAGAAAATTATCAGCCAGGAGACCGTACACGGCAAACCAGAAGTGTGTGTCTCCAGTTACACTTTCTCTAGTGGCAGTAAGTTGAAACCTTTGGTACTGTTCTCTTTCATTGTTTAGTATCATTATTAATTCTTACATTCTCTTGAGGCCCATTAAATGGCAATATTATATTACTAGTTACCAGTGTAAAGGGCCCATATCTCCTCATTAATTGGCTGATATGTGTTTAAGAAGCCATTTTGAGTATTTTTCTCTGAAAAAAAGGATATTTCCATCACAAGATATAATAGTTTTGTATGTGCTTTTGTTTTGGTTGCTCTGTTTTTAAGCATTAGCACTTCAGTGTGCAGCTTAGATGAGTTCTCAGCTGAATCTTCAGGATGCAGTATTTTGTATGTTCCTAAGTTCAAAACTGGTACTATAATTTCAAATTCAGTGCCACATATAATTAGTAATGTTTTATAGTCTTGGGGTTTGGGTTTTGTTTTTGTGGAGGGTTGATTTTTTGGGGTTTTTTTTTTGCTTTTTATTTTTTTTCCCCTCAAATCTTGTTCATTTGAAAGGGAAAAAGAAGCTTCCACAACTTTGACAGTTGGTGACGTTTTTTTGTTCCCCCCCCCTCGTTTCTTTTAAAGGACAGAATTAATTCACAGATAATTCAGATTCTTGGCAGCATCTGGTAGCTGGTAGGGAAAACAAATTTCAAAAAAAGTCACTGATTTCATGAAGACAGCATTTATCAATAATACAATTATCCCTCTGACTCACACTAAAGCTCATTGGACTTGTATACAAGTAAGATCAGTAAGATAAGAATTGAAAACTTTCTCTATGTTGAATCTGTAAGGCAAACACAGGACACTTTTCCAGAGAAGGTTTTATGGGGTAGCTGATGGCAGTTAGGGATGCAGACCACATCCCATCTCCCTTACCCAACCTACACCCCTTTCAGATTATGTTTTGCCCCCAGGTTGCTGCTTATGTTTATTATGCATTAGTCCCTAGTGATAGCATCAAGGTCCTGTGCTCTGCTTGAATCAACAGTTGAATTACACATCAAAAGCAAATTGCTAGTTAATCACCAGGGAAAGGAGACCTGAAGAACTACAAATAGTTCTGTGACCAGTGTAGTTAGTAAAGACCAGTTTTCAATGGCTTTTTTTTCTGTTTGGACTCTCAGACGTTCAATAAAATGTGAACTCCTTAAATTTTTCCTAAATGAAGGCACTAACAGGCCATCTCTTCTTTGTCTTTTTACCGATACTTGTGAAATTAAAGAGTGTCTTTGGGGTACCTAGTTTAATTGCAACTTGTCAACAGGCTAAAATATTTTGCGCAAGGGAAAGGTTAGAGGGATGGTGTGGTCACACGAACTTTAAATGAGAACTTTGCAAGGGTCTCGTCTGCATGGCCCTGTTGTGTGTGTCTCCTGAGCAGTCAAAAACTTTAAGAATGTCAGTGAGTATAACATCTTCTTTTCCCCTTACAAAGTTGGGATGTGTTCAGGGCCAAGCATGGACCCTTTCTGTGGAATCACTCCAGTGTCTTGCACCATGCTCTGCATCACAAGATGCAAAACATATCCAGTGTCATAGCTGTTGTATAGAAAAGTAACTGGTTCACAATTTATTTAGGTTTAGGTTAAAATTATGAACAAGAGAAACTGAAATAAACCTAGGGCATGGCTCTTGAATCCTAAATCTCATCAGTAATCACAAGAATATGTAACTTGGAAGTAGTCCATTATATGTATGTATTTACCTATAGGCTTTATGTGTCACTCATGTGTCACTATTATTACACATAGGCAAAAAAGGACCCTGGATTTAAGAAAAACTATGTCTGTAGTATTTTTTAAATGCTTTTAGGTGCCAACAAACAACAATGATTTTTTCTAGTTTAATAATAAGCTAATTAAGATACAAAACCCAACAAAGTTATTTTTAAAAGCTCTGGGTAGTAACAGCATAATAGTTTCATTACCTAAAGTTCAGTCACAAAAAGGACAAAATATCCCTCTTATGTATGCTGAAGAGCTTTTCAGTTTCAAAAAAAATCAATACTATATTCACACTAGTGTTGGCTTGCATAAAATACTGACTAGAGTCACACTGGTGGTTTTACATAAAGACTTAAAAAGCAATCTTGGTCGTCTGAAAGGTTCTAATTGTTTTTTCCCTTTCCTGAAAGAGTAATGAAAGGACAACTAAAAAGCAGAACTATATAGTTATTTTATAACTGGCACTAACAAATTTCACCAATTACAGAGTCCATTCTGTAAGCAATGAATGTGTGGCTCCCAATTAATCTAGTGTACCTCCAGGCAAGGTCTAAATCAGCTGGATACAGCTAAAGCAATTTGCACACAGCTAAAAGCAAATTGGAAAATAAGTGTTTCACGCTACTGCCTATCTTTTCAAGCCAAATACACAATCAGTATTCTGGCAGCAGCACTCTGTCATGTTATTTGCAACTATCAATTTTAATTATAACAATTATTGATTAGTTGGGAAAGTGAATAATCTAATGTTCAAATGAGGCTGGCGTGGCTGCTGGGGATCATTTTCCCTTTCATGCACATGTGCATTCAGTGTTAGGAAATATCAAGCAAAGAATATACCTGCACCCCAGTGATGAGTTCAAATAACTATCATTGAACTTGTAGCTGTGACACTTTTTTTTTAATTTTGTTTACAACGAAACATCCAGTTTTATAATTCACCACTCTGCTGTACAGAAAGGTTGATATGAATTGAATTAGGGCATAAGAGGACTCACTGAGGAACAGAGGCAAATACTTTCAAACTTGGGCACCTAAAGCCAAACTTCTATTTTCTTACTTAACCACCCAGAGTGCTCCTGTTGCCCATTGACACCAGCTGTTTTGCTAACCTCTTTACTTTTAGACTCACACTGTTTCTTGTAGAACAATGCTTCTCTTGGAACAGAGAGAAAGGAAATATCCAGCCCTAGCTGCACTAACAAGAGCTTTATGTGTTTCAGCTAAATAAATAGCTGGGGGAAGAGGACAGCCTGACTTGACCTGGGTTACAGCCACAAAGACTGAACATAAATTTTCTGTATCTGAATTTGTGGTACAGGTTCATCTCCACTACTAACCAGTTGCCCCATGTAGTGTTGCTGAAGACATGCTGTTTCCATCTGAAGTGACCCAGTAAACATTCAGCTAGTAATTACTGTACCCCAAAGAAGCCCTTCAAGTGCTCTGCACGCTGCCTGTGTTGAGAGTGGGAGAGTAATAGGAGAGTTTTCCTGTCACATGTGCTCTACACCCTCATGGCTGAATGTGTCCACTTTGCTGGGGACACGTCCTGTGGCACAGAGCTGCCCACGCCTGCCCCAGGCTGGGGAGGGCTGGGGCACAGCCTCACCACCTGGTTGGCTGCTTCTCACATGGGCACAACTTTCATTTTTTAAAAAGGTTAGGACAGTGACTGGTGTTTAGCAATATCCTCACCTCTGGGCTGCCATTGAGGTCAGATGAGTGGGATCAAATACAGGATCGCAACGTTGCCCATTTACCTGCTTTTGAGTTTAAAGCAGTGTACTACATATGGAGGACAAAAAACATTCGTGGGGAGTTTTGCAAATAATGGCTACTGAATAACTGGAATAGTAGGTGGTGCATTGCAATATGGTTGGGAAACTGGATGGATGGGAAAGTGGGAAGGTCAGCTGCTACAATCAGGTATCAAGAGAGAATAATTTCAAAGACCTGCACAAGGATTTAGCTATGCAACTCCCACTGTCTTGACAAAGCCTTCAGCTAATCATCTGCTTTGAAAATGTGAGGGAATGCATCCTTGAGTTAGACAAGAAGATCCCTCTGCTTAATCACCAGCAAAAAAAATGTGTTTACGCTGCCTTATACTGAAATAGAAAAAAAAGGAAAGGAAAAAACTAGCAAAGACATGGGAATGAATCTTGAGTGTACCATACATGGGAAAGCCAGTGACTGATAACAAAAGTGCTCTCTCAGAGAAAAAAACCAGTAGAACAATAGATGCATATATGTGAGATCATCTGGGGATCAGATACAGCTTCAGCACATGTGCACACACAGTAATATTGTTGTCTGACATGCCTCCTGCTCTGTCTTTTGTCTTTCTGAACTCTTGTTTGGAGTTTAAATTATTTTACCCTGCCCACCAAAGCTTCCAACCTGCTCAACTTAGTGCTGCACAAATGCATTTGCAGAGAGAATCCTGTCCCTAACCTTTTCTTTCTTCTATTCTTTCTCTTTTGTTGTGTTGAGGGGAAAAAAGCCCCAAATACAGCAATTTCCTGTCTAACAATACTTATCACTATAGTATCTTGTAATAGAAAATAATGAAAAGTTATAGACTGCAGTCCTTTAATCTGGTGTATAACAGTGTGATTTGTATTTTGTTAAACTATAAATTGATAATCTCACAGCCTCTCCATTATTTAAAATATATTTAAAATTATTTAAAATTGCTGTGCCTGTCCATAACTTTGGGATCAGAAATGTATCTCAAGGGATCCCACTCCATCTGCAAAAAGTGCTTTTCACTTCAGATTAATATATTTTCATTTGCCCTGTCAGCCTATGCAGATGGAGCAGGCCTCAAACCACACGGGGTCAAGTAGGAGCCCAATTAGGCAGAGTTATTTTTAAATTCTGGAGGGCACAGGGTCAGCACACTGGAGAGATTTAAGCACCTAAAGATGTAGATAGGTGCCTCATGTATTTTCAGAAGTGCTATCACACTGTAGTCAAGTGGAGTTAGACATCTGGCAACTATCTTGTGAAACACATTTTGAGATGCCTGTGAAGAGCCTAAATGCTTTTGGAAATCTAGCTTCTCTTGCCATAGGAAGGTTCAGGCCACACAGCTAAGGCCACCAGTGGTTTCATTTTCCCACTTCCACAGTCTCAGGTCTGCTGTTTAACTTCATGGCCAAGATTTACATGGCAGCCCCTGGACACACTTACATTGTTCAGGAGATCATATGTGCATTGGCTATCCTGGGAGTCCAAAGTGCTGGGGACCAGGAGGCAGGAAAGCCGATGGCCATGGGTGAGTCAGCTGCGCTCAGACATGGCATGGGGATCTCTAATCTTCTCTGTACCCTGGATAAGGGAAGATCAAAGAACATAAACCCAACCACTTTCCATCTAGCTCGATCATCAGTAGTGACCACGAGTAAATTCCTAGGGAAGAGCAAGAGTAGAGAATATATCTCAGCTAATACTCTTCCACCTTCTGACAATTTTTAGTCAGGGAGTTTCTAGTGTAGTTTCTCTATGCAATAATCTACAAACCTTTTTTTTTTTCCCCCAAAGTGCTTTTTGAATTTTCTCTTGAATTCAGTACGAGCTTTTTGTATCTACAATGTCCCTGTTTGCCAAGGAGTTTCCCATATGCTTTGCCCACCACACAGAGACCCTCTCTCTGTCCTTGATTCAGTCCTTCTTACTTTTATTTGATGACCCTGAATTCTTGTACTGGAATTAGCCAAAAAACAATTTATCTCCTAGTCTTCTTCCCTCCATAGCTCTCCTGATTTTCTAGACTCTAACATATTCCACCTTAAGTCATCTTTGTTCCACACTAAAGACTCCCAGCCCAGTACTTTTTTATTTTTTCCTACATGGAACCTACTAATCATCCTTGTCATTATTCTCTGAAACTTTTCTGTTTCTAATAGATCCTTTATAATTTTTGAGGCTCCTATCTATCCTTCTGCTATAAAACAGCCTATTTATTCCTACCTTTAAGTTCCTAATTCTAGCAAGGTGTCTTTACAATATATGGTTTTATAGTTTTTAGTCTCTTTAAAAGGGCAGGGTGGAGGTCCCTGTCAAAAGTTTTTTGGAAAGCCGAGTAGACGATATCATAGGGGCAATCTGGTTGAATCACCCTATTCCATATGCTTATCAATCCACTGACTGTCAAGAGGTTTGTAAGGCAGGACTGTCCTTGCCAGAAACAGTATACAGGAGCCAAGCTTGAAAATGCAACCAGCATGAAAGGGAAGTCAAGTCACTTAGGGTTGAGGGCACTTTGATGTTTTAATCTTATGCTGGGAATTGTCTTGAGATTTTAGATACATTTCAAATAGGGCAAATGAAACATGGTTGTTAGGAGACATTTTAGAAAACAACTCAGGAAAATGAGAAATGTGTACCCTCAGCCGTATTTTGTTAAATCTACCTCCTTGTTTTGCTCTTAGAATCACATACTACTTCCTGCTGGAAGACACCTATGAAGGTGGTAGCCCAGCATCCAGCTCAAAGAAGTTTTGATTAGAAGAGGTTGCTTGGGGCTGAAGAAATTTATCTTCAGGGATGCAAATCCCACACCTTTCTAGGCTTCTGTTCCAGTATTTCACCACCTTCATGGGGAAAATTACCTATATCATACCTAGTTGAATTTTCCCATGTTCCAGCTTGTATCTTTTGTCTTTTCTTCTTCCTCTGTCTAGCTTTGGGAAGGGTCTGGCTCTGCTTTCTCTACACCCTTCCATTAGATAGCTGCAGACAGCAGTCAAATCTCCTTTCGTCCTTCCTTTCTCAGGGCTGAGCAAACCCAGTTATTTTTGGCCATAAAGAGGTGATGTGGCACAAAGAGGTTTGACTGCACCAGCAGCAGCAGGATGTTTCAGCTCTTGTTCTTAGTAACGAATGGGACAGGACCAGGATGCAAGTGTTATCCACATGGAGTTGAAATAAATCCTTAACAAGTTTTTTAATTAGGTTACTCAAAAATAGGCAGTTAGATCTAAAGAATTGCATGAGAAGTGAGCAACTAATTAATTCCTGGAGCATCAGTTGAATGAAGTAATATCTACAGTACGTACCAGGGCAGAGAGCATGTGTGCTACAAAGTTCAATCTTAATAGAATAATGATGCAGAGGGGGTCATCAAAAGCTCATGGAAATTAAAGAAATGCAGGATACTCCAACTTAGACTGAAGTGATTTCCATTTGAATGGATCTGCAAGGACCAGATGGGGTTTTAACTGCTAGTTTGCATACTTGAGGTCTTACAACCTCCAGCAGCTGTGTCTCGCTCTTGATATTCCTGTGGTTTCTAGCAGAAGGGATGGAGCTCTATGGTGGGGAGCCAGAGAGAGTCTTCACCAGGGTGCTGGGTGTTAGATACCACATCTCTTAGTTCTCTTCTTAAGCCTACCATCAAGTAAAGTGAGAAGATGAGTCTTTTCAGTTTGTTGATGATACACAGATTCATCTGATGTCTCAAAATCGCCAGCCCTTGTTCTCGTAGGTGACTTTAACCTGCTAGATGTCTGCTGGGAACTCCGCATAGCGGAGAAGAGGCAGTCTAGGAGATTCCTAGAGTGTATAGAGGATAATTTCCTGCTCCAGCTGGTAAATGAGCCTACCAGGGATGGAGCCCTGCTAGACCTCCTGTTCACAGAGAGGGGCTGGTGGGAGATGTGGTGGTCGGTGGACGTCTGGGACACAGTGACCATGAAATAATAGAGTTTTCAATACTCAGGGATGCAAGGAGGGCCGTCAATAAAACCTCTGCATTGGACTTCTGGAGGGCAGGTTTCAGCCTATTTAGAAGACTAGTTCAGAGTGTACACTGGGAAACAGCCCTTGAAAACAAGGGGGTCCAGGAGGGATGGACGTACTTCAAGAAGCAAATTTTGAAAGCACAGGAGCAGGCTGTCCCACTGTGCCGAAAGGCAAGCCGGTGGGGAAGACGATTGGTCTGGCTGAAAAGGGAGATTTTGGAAGAAATTAGGGTAAAGAAGAGAGCCTACCGATTATGGAAAAAAGGGCTGACTACTCAGGAAGAATTTAGGAATATAGTTAGGTCAAATAGAAAGAAAATCAGAGGGACGAAGGCACGACTTGAACTGAATCTCGCCACCTCTGTGAAGGATAACAAAAAGTCCTTTTACAGATACATCAATAGCAAAAGGAGGGGCAAGGAAAACCTCCACTCTTTACTGGACATGGGTGGGAATACAGTTAGCAAAGATGAGGAAAAGGCTGAGGTATTTAACACCTTCTTTGTCTCAGTTTTCAACAGTAAGACAGGTTGTCCTGAGGACAGCTGGCTTCTAGAGCTTGTAGAAAGAGACAAGAATCTGAACAGCCCCCCTGTAATCCAGAAGGAAACAGTTAGTGACCGACTGAGCTGCTTGGATCCCCACAAGTCTATGGGACCAGGTGGGATCCACCCAAGGGTGATGAGGGAGCTGGCGGAAGAGCTCACCAAGCCTCTCTCCATCATCTACCAACAGTCCTGGCCCACTGGGGAGGTCCCAGATGATTGGAAGTTGTCAAATGTCATGCCAATCCACAAAAAGGGCCAGAAGGAGGACCCAGGAAACTACAGGCCTGTCAGCCTGACCTCAGTGCCTGGCAAGGTTATGGAGCAGATCGTCCTCAGTGCAATCACACAGCACCTACGGGATGGACAACGGAACAGACCCAGCCAGCACGGGTTTAGGAAGGGCAGGTCCTGTCTGACCAACCTGATCTCCTTTTATGATCAGGTGACCCGCCTGGTGGATGAGGGGAAGACTGTGGATGTGTCTACCTGGATTTCAGTAAGGCCTTTGACACTGTCTCCCACAGCATTCTCCTGAAAAAGCTGGCAGCCCACGGCTTGGACAGGGGCACTCTGTGCTGGGTTAGGAACTGGCTGGAGGGCCGGGCCCAGAGAGTGGTGGTGAACGGGGCTGCATCCAGTTGGTAGCACCAACAACTAGTGGTGTCCCACAGGGATCAGTGTTGGACCCAGTTCTGTTTAATATCTTTATTGATGATTTAGATGAGGAGATTGAGTCCATCATCAGCAAATTTGCAGATGACACTAAGCTGGGGTGGAGTGTCGATCAGCTGGGAGGCAGGAGGGCTCTGCAGAGGGACCTGGTTAGGTTGGAGAGTTGGGCTGATCCCAGCGGGATGAGGTTCAACAAGGCCAAGTGCTGGGTCCTGCACTTTGGCCACAACAACCCCCTGCAGCGCTACAGGCTGGGGACAGTGGCTGGAGAGCAGCCAGGCAGAGAGGGACGTGGGAGTTTGGATTGACAGGAAGCTGAACATGAGCCAGCAGTGTGCCCAGGTGGCCAAGAAGGCCAGTGGCATCCTGGCCTGGATCAGGAACAGTGTGGCCAGCAGGTCCAAAGAAGTGATTCTTCCCCTGTACTCAGCACTGGTGAGGCAGTACACATAACCTGAGTACTGTGTCCAGTTCTGGGCCCCGCAGTCCAGGAAGGATATTGAGGTGCTGGAGCAGGTCCAGAGGAGGGCAATTAGGCTGGTGAAGGGACTCAAGCACAAGTCCTGTGAGGAGAGGCTGAGGAAGCTGGGGCTGTTCAGCCCGGAGAAGAGGAGGCTCAGGGGAGACCTCATCACTCTCTACAAATCCCTGAAAGGAGGTTGTAGCCAGGTGGGGGTTGGTCTCTTTTCCCAGGCAACTATCAGCAAGACAAGAGGGCATGGTCTTAAGCTATGCCAGGGGAGGTTTAGGTTAGATATTAGAAGGAATTTCTTTACAGAGAGGGTGGTCAGACGTTGGAATGGGCTACCCAGGGAAGTAGTGGTTCTCTGTCCCTGGAGATTTTTAAGAAGAGACTGGATGTGGCACTTAGTGCCATGGTCTAGTTACCGCAATGGTAGTGGATCAAGGGTTGGACTTGATGATCTTGGAGGTCCCTTCCAACCCAGCTGATTCTATGATTCTATGATCTCTCAGTTGCTCCACAGAGCACACTGAAGTATGTTTTCCAGAGGCTGAGTACAGTACAGGGTAGGTAAAGGCAAATCAGCTGAAATCAGTCTGGAGAACAGCAAAAAAAAAATATCTCTCTAGAAGAGCTGCTTTCATAAAATTCCTGCCATTTTTATAGGAAATACAATTGACAGCTCACATGAGACGCTGACCACAGCAAATCCAACAGTGACTTTCTGATTAGGTTGTGATCCAGGTCTGAAATTTAAAACATTCAGAGCCAAGAATTTTAATCCAGCTGTGTGTCCTCACATCTACTGTTCTGAAATTTATTGCAAATTTTTACCATTTCCAGAAAAGTGCATTTAGTCAGTGTCAGGAAAGGAACAATGCTGCAGATTGCAAACTTAGCTCCAGTTTGGGGTTTGTTTTGCAGTTACATACATGACAGTGACTCAGGCCCCAGTGCTTACTCCAGACAAGAAGGTCTGTTTAAACATATATTGACAGCTATTGCAGGAAAAGTGGGCAAGTCCTTATGTGTTTGGCACACAGTTCTGTGACCTTTACATCTGTAGGTGCTATCATCTTGTTTTGGCTTCTTCATAAATTCATTTTAGCCCCTATAGGAGTTGTGTGGCGGTCTTGGGCAGATAAGTGCAAAAAGCTCCCACAAAACTCCTTTAAAAGTATATTAGTATGAGTTGTATGTGTGTGTGCAGAAGAAACAGTTCTACCTAAAGGGACCAACTAGAATCTGATCCAGTAATATTTTCAGTGTTGAATATGGCATTATTGCCAAACTGCTTACACTTTGTATTTCCCTTTGTTCATATTTATTTCAGAGATAATAAGATGAATCTGGTATAACTTTTCATCTTAGCTTTCAGAGATAACGGTGCTAAAAATGCAAGACAATATCAAGCAAATCGGGACAGTGTGAAAAATAAATAATAAAAAAAGAACAGCCTTTCCTTGACAACATTACTGCTGACTGTGACCCAACCAAGGTGGCAGGATGCATGCATTTCACAAGAATTTAAGTCTCTTACAAGTGGGTTAGTAATGTGAGAGAGTATAGTTAAGATCTTGTGAAAAAGAGGACAAAATAGGCTCTGATGCAAATTTTAAATTACTAAAGGTTCATTGAAAAGCGTATAGGTAGACCAAATTCACAAATGTATTTCTTTCTGCTTTTCTTATTTCTAGTATTATATATATGTATATACATTATATGTAAGTCTACTTTTAAACCATTTAATGTATAGATATGTGTGTAGGTATGTATACATGCACATGTATATGTAAAACTACAACTGATTTTCAGACATTTAAATACATGTTGTATTTTCAAAGGCATAAGTAAAATAATTTGTTAATGTCCCAATAAGTTCAGAAGCCTTAAAGTCTGTTTTTTAAATAAACCAGCAAGAATTAAAGAGCCTCACGAGCATATGCAGAGAAAGAATATGAATGTAGTAGTGGTGAGCTGCTGCTGACCACTGGTCTAGAGTGCACACACATTGTCTGATGTCTGTGGCAGGTTCCCCTTCTTGCTCCAGAAGCAGTGAATGCCACCACTCTCATCACTGCACTGAGTGTGATCCTCTCCCTGCACCCTCCCTGACAGGGCAGGCACAGTGATCCACTGGGAAGGAAATCAGACAGCACATGCTTGTGGAGAGCTTTGAGGTGACTTTTTATTTGCTTGAAGGACATATTTTAGGTTTTGGGCTGTGTGTTAGGTTTAGAGGATTTTAATATATGTAAGGGAACATACTGCCTGTCAGCACAGTCTTAGCCAATACTCCCGAGTGGTCGTGCCACTTTTCTTCCCCCAGCAGCATCGATCAGTCTGGGGGGCAATGCCAGTCAAGGGCTGAATTTGGGGCTGCAGAGATGGCATTTTCTTTGTATGCACAGCAGCCTTCTTTTCGGTACTTTATCTCCTACCTCCCAGCCATCTGCTCATCAAGTCCATTGTGTGTATGGATCTGTTAATGCAGTGCACATTTTGAGGAGGTAGAAGCTGCCACCACCAACAAGGTTCAAAGGGATGATGAAAATGTTATGGTGGCCAAGTTTATTTTCTTATCCTGACTCTTTTTTTTTGCTACTTCAGCTCCATTCCCCTCTCAGCAGGTGAAGTGTACAGATTTATATTCAGCGTGCCAGAGATGCTGACCTCCCTAATTAATTCAAAATTCACAGCAGTGTCAAAGGTATAGAGGCAACTTGGCCCAGTAGATGAAATGAAGAGTAAAAAATATGCTATTCCCACAGAAATTGATGGAATTTGTTTTCACCTAAAGCAGGGCTGACTGTGGTTCAATGACACTGAATTTCACAGATTTGCATTGATTTGCTAATGAGAAATTTACACCACCGTTTTCTTGCCTTTAAATTTGACCCTTTCACTTCAGCTTGAATTGATGATTACTGTGGGAACAGAAGGAACTGGATGCACTTCTCTGGAGTGAACATAATTCAGTGAGCAAACTATAAAAGAGTTTGAGAGTAAAGTAATCCAAGGATTAAAAAAAGTCAGCAACAAACAGCAACAGAAAGAGGTCTGTCTGGTAGATTGTCACTGTGACTAGTACGTGATCCCTGGCACTCCTGAATGTTGGGGAGCTACCCCCTCATTGAAAATTAATGCTATTGAGGAGGGCTGGGTGTACACCAGCTGATTTTAATCAGCTCCTAAGAGGGGGTCTAAAATCCAGCCTGCTCTCCCTGGCTCCTCTGAGTGTGCGGGCTGCCAGGGCCTTGCTGCAGGGATCTTGCTGGGAGAAGGATGGCAGGATGCACAGATGCTGGACCCTCGCACACTGGTTGCAGGGCGAGAAAAGCCCTTGCGAGCCACATCCTTCAGGACCTGAGTTGCAGGAGAGGCACTGAGGCTTCAAAAGTGGTTCACAATGTATCGTCGCTGAACCTTCCTGCATGGCTGACCTGCTTTAGCTAAAAGGAAGAAAGCCCACATTAGCATGAGAGCAAAGGAAGTCAAAATGATCTCATTCATAGAGCTTTCTCCCATCTATGTTAAGGGGAGTTTGTCCCCACAGAATAGCATGTCTTTCTCTGGGCCACACAGGGCTGTCTGCCTAATTTTCCTCATTCTTAACCTTTGCCTCTCCATGGGACTGAAGTGCAGGACAATGCCAGGATACTGAATTCTTCCCTTATATCTTAGCTACAATAGTGAGGAGGTGGCAGGGTTAAAAATGTTTGCACACCCATGGGACAGCTTGAATTCAGGGAACTGTTCTGGCATTGCTTTCTCTGAGCTGCAAGGACTGACCAGCTGAAGTATAACCATCTCCAGTAGAGAGTATGTACAGAGCAGTATAAGCCTAAGTGTAAGCTATCATTTATTGATGATAAAAAATAGCATCTAAATAATAAAAGTCCCCAAAGCAAAACTTCCATCTAATACTACTAATTGCCTTTGAATTAGTTTTCTATAATGCCACATTAGCACAGCAGCGCATTAATTATTGAGCAATATTTAAATCATTCTGAACTAAGTAATGCATTCATTTCCTACCTCCTTTAGATGGGAAATACCTCTTATAGTATGTTATGTTTTAAAAATCTTTATTATTTAAAATAATATCTTTTCTTTGTATTCCACCCATCATAGTTGTGAATTTTTGTGAAGACAATGCTGCAACTGAACTGCAGATTCAGAAGAAAAGTATTTGTCATATTTTTATTCTACTAACTAATATTTTTTAAAAACTATGCCTCTTAGCAAAGTTTTTTTTTTGCTGTATTGTTGGACAGCTTAGTGAATTGCTTTTTAAAAGAGTCTACCTGGGTTGAATTAATTATATATAATGCTAATAAACTAAGTATTCATAAAATTCTATCGATTGTGCCAACATGGGTCTCGAATCCATCTCACTATTGAATAGCTAATGTTTACATTCCTCTGGAAAAGAATGTAGCCTTTATGTGACTTTATGAACTAACTGTACAGTGTAAAAGGTGAAATTACCTTGCCTAAAAGTAAAAACAGAGATATACCATAGTAGAAGTATACTAGCAACAACTTCATTCCTTTACTGTTATATATACCTTTTGTGTTGTCTTATAAGAAATGCACTCAGATATCTATTTGAGTGAATTTATCAAACAAATGCCTTCCCCAGGGTTTTTAGGGTGGTTAAACAAGAGATTCAGCTCCTACACAGAGACATTTGAAGCTGCAGGTCAAAATATCATGGCCTGAATAAATAAACACTCACAGACAACCTAACCCCCCAGCAGACAACCATATGTTCTCATAGAGGGCAGGCTAGTGAAGGTACCTGCGTTACAGGCCCACCAGACCTCACCATACTCAGCTTCTGTATCCATGTGTGCATGAGCAACACAATATTGCACATGCAGGAATTTGCTGGGAAAAGGGGAGAGTTACCATCACTGGCGCTTGTTCTGACATATGTACTGAGGATATTCTTCACAATTTGGACAGTATTTTTAATTTCTTTTTC